TTTTCTATTTAAAATTGCCTTCCATGTTACCAGAGTCATAGGGTGTCCTAAGGACAATATTTACTGTTGTCTTAAGGAGTCACAGCAACTTGAAATGTCCTTGTGAATACCCTGAACCATCAAATTATGAAATCTGTTAGTTGTGAAAATTAAACTGTTTAGAGTACAGTATTTTCTATTCAAAATTGCCTTCCATGTTACCAGAGTCATCGGGAGTCCTAAGGACAACTTTTACTGTTGTCCTAAAGAGTCACAGCAACTTGACTTTTCCTTGTGAATACCCTGAACCATCAAATTATGAAAGCTGTTAGTTGTGAAAATTAAACTTTTTACAGTATAAGTACTTCAATTTTTATTCAAAATTGCCGTCCATGTTGCTAAACATTTGGCTGGTTATATGCAGGGAGCATGTAGGACATTCATAACTCTTTGCTATTACCGTCATGATCCAGGTTAAACATTTTTAACTGTTAGAAAGATTTGAAATCCAATGTTTTTACCTTAATTTTTGGAAGATCTTCTGGTTTGAAGACATTTGGTGAACACCCACACCAGTCCACAATGTGTTTATACTGACACTGGCATCCCAGTTTACGCTTCCAGTTTGTAACTCGCAGGTTGTTATCAACCATTGTCTGGCATAACTCGCTGTTTTCAAGAACTGTGTGGAAGAATGACTGTAAACAAAATGATTACCCTATTATTTACATGTAACTATAATAATGCATATATTTTCAGGACGTTGGGGTATTGCCCTCAATTCCCTTGAGATATATAACAAACTGGAGAAGTATTTTTTTCACGATTAGTAATTAGTAATGCCAACCATCTTGTCATGTTTATTTTGTTAGTCAACCTATAAACAGATTTTAGATTTTTTTAAAGTAAACATATTGTACATGATAAGTATCAAAATACAGACAATAACAAATGATTAAATAAAATTCAAAAAACAAAACATGAACATGTAGGAGCATTTGGCAAACTCCATACAGTTTATTTCCAAAATGATTCTACTATTACAAGTGGTATTGAAATGTGACTCATACAGAAACACAGTGAAAACAGGAGCTGAACAGAATTTGAATCAAACTCAAGCTAACACTGATTGGTCAATGCCGACCATGTCTGAATGTAGATTGACTCTAATTAACATAATTTATGCACTGGCTATCAACACTATAATTATACAAGTAACCTGTAGAATACTGTGTGGGTAATATTTTTTATATTGATTTTTGTTGCATTTGCAGCAAATAGTTACCAAACAATGAGAAATCTATAGGATTGAATATACCCCACAGCTGGCTTCACATACATTGTTCATAGTTCATATGGTGCTTACACCAGGATTTAATTACAGCACCTAGGCGGTATGTGGTTACAGCTTAATGTTCGAGTAATCGCAAGAAATTGACATGACAATAGAAATTCATTAAAGACTGCCACTCCCATGCAATTAACAGCGAGTGAAATTCCTGGGATTGAAACATATATTTTGAAGTCACTGGTGTAGGCAACGAATAACTGCAAGTTGACATAAAGACGAGGTAGTTTATTTAATCAGTGGTCAACTAGAGGCTGAAATTATAATTAATTTGTTTATTCAATTT